TTTCCTCGCATCAATCCATCTCTGCAGAGCTCGGTTCTTGCCTGTGGTGTTTTGACGAGGAGGGTGCAGCACTCCCTCCCCGCGGTGCCCGCGGTCGTCTCCCTTCTCCCGCGAGCGGTGCTTACTGACGTGGTGTTTACGAATCTCTCTACTCCTCCAGCTTCGTGGGCCACGCTTTCCGCGACGGTGGTTGCCAGGTGCAGTTTGCCGCTTTGCATTACTGCCGCGGGAACAGTGTCCATACACACCTCTCGCCACTGCCACCGTCTGTGCATCCTCACCGCCACGATGAGCCAGCGCGGCGGTGAGTTGCACCTTGGGACACCACCCGCCTACTATCTGTTGTGGCCTGGTTCGCCCGCGAGGGACTCACTAGGTCGATCTCGGCCCCGGCCGGGGAGCAGGCCGAGGGGGGGAAGGTGTGGTATGAAGGTCTGTACCGAGCGTACCGAAATTTTAGGTGGGTATGGAGGACTATACCGAGCGTGCCGAGATTTTTGGTAGGGTACGGAGGTCTATACCGAGCGTACCGAAATCTTCGGTATCGTATGGAAGTCTGTACCGAGTGCACCGAGACGCTCGGTAGGGTATATACCGGCGGAAATACCGGAGGTATACCTCGGTAGATACGCACACGAACGGTGATTTTCAGCCCTCTAAACAAAGTCAATGGTCGGCAGTGCTTCTTGTCCGTGTTCTCGATGAGTATTTATGTTAATATAAAACGTGGACGGTGCCAAAAAACGAACACCCCATAGCTAGCAGCCAGCCTCTTTCTACCATGCCTCTCGTCTGCCGCAATACCATCCATGTTAGCGGCTCTGGTGTTCTTGTCTACAACAGACACAAAAACACAGCCCCCTGTGCGTAGGCGGCGACCTTGCAATCACACGCTCGATACCAATCCGGGTGGCTTGAGATTTTTAGGTCCCTACAAATCTGGCCATGCTGCAACGCCCACCCACACCCCCCGTGGCTATTACTCCTCGTCCAAGTCCATGCCATCCACGGTCGGTGCCGCGATGATGCAGTGTTGTGTGTCCGGGGAATGGTAGGGGTACGGTAGGGGTACAGCAGATTGCACCCCCATTTGTGTGATGAGTGAGCGAGTGACGTCACAACGTGGCGGTACTGGTATTATTTCTTTCGGTAAGGTATGTAGGGCTGTACCGATACCCCAACCGAAATCTCGGTACTTTTCCTTCGAATACCGAGATGTTCGGCAGGGTATGGAGAGCTGTACCGAGCGTACCGAAGTTTTCGGTAGGGTGTGGAGGTCTATACCGAGCGTACCGAGATTTTCGGTAGGGTATGGAGGGTTGTACCGATACCTCTACCAAAATTTCGGTAATTTTTCTTCGAATGTCGATATCTGGTAGGGTATGGAGGGCTGTACCGAGCGTACCGAAATTTTCGGTAGGGTATGGAAGCCTGTACCGAGCGTACCGAAACGCTTAGTAGGGTAGATACTGGCGGAAATACCGGCGGTATACCTCGGTATGTACCCTAACATAACCTTGGAAATTAGTGTGCTAGACGAACGCAGCTCTCTGTTTCTTCTACCGCAATTGAGTGGGGTTTGTTCAGGAATTATCACGACACAGCGCTTGCGAACAGAATACGATCGGTCAACAAAAGCGGCAACTCGACAATTGTCGTAGTCCCGGGGGGCGGAGGGCGACAGTGATGATCACTTGGCACGTTCCCGAAACACAAGTTGGCGCGAGAAAGCCAATTCCAAGACGACGCTTCCTGCAGCCATGCAAAGGTTAAACACTTGCCACCAACATTCATGTACACAACGAACGCTGCCCTGTACCTCTCGCTCAGCATACTGCGGGTATAACACATGATCACCGTTGCCAATGCCCCCTGCCAATCGCTTTCGTCTCGCCACCTCACAGGTCGCAGTGCTACAGCCGTTTTTGAAACGCGTGAGCCGAAGCGCACGTGGTCCAGAGCAGGACCAGCTTCGACCAACGGCAACGTACGGGGAAGCGAAAAGTAAACTCGAAGAGGCAGTAGCTCTCGCGGACACGCTGGGCTGCGAGGTTGTATTCAAGGAGGTATAGCTCGCGGGCGGGGATCGAGTTCATGTAGAAAATCTCACCAGTGTACCGAACCGCTAGGAAACCGGCTCGATTGGTTGTTTCCTTCTCTTCAGTTCAGTTCTTCTACGGTGTGGACAATTTCACTCGTATGCACACACCTGCAGACCGAAACCAAGCTTAGTCGGTAAACGTCGCCAAGGGTTCATGGTCGTTGAAACGTTGCACAGGTGTAAGCCGGATAAGTGTGCGTCGATGAAGTCATCGTCAATATCAGGTTGTAAACGGGGCCCTTCAGGCTGAGAGCCTTTATTTGAGGCAGGTTGCCACGACTTTGGCCCCATGACATAAGAGCGAAATTAAGCACAGTATCGGTAACCCCGGGGAATATCTACACTATAATCACGACCTAGTTTCCGACCACATTTTAGCGGATTTTCATTCACGCCGACTTTTTGCAACTCCCCTATCTCGCGATCCAACCGCCGTTATTCCTTGTGTTTGTCAAAGGTGGTGCAGCTGCGGAATGTCCACCCCAAGTTTGTTTTCGGCAGCGGCAAGACGTCCGAGATGTCTGGTGCCATTTCCGCAGCAGATGCGGATACAGTCTTCGTAAACGCGCCCCTATCCGGACAGCAGCAAAAAGCTCTTAGTGCCGAGTGGGGCGGCGCGACCGTGCTTGATCGGTTTGCCGTCATCCTCGATATCTTCGCTGACAGAGCGAGGACGACGGAAGCAAAGCTACAGGCAAGGGTCGTTGCATGATGGATGCTACACGTGGTAACAGCAGCAGCCACTGGAATTGAAATCGTTTGCATCTACTTTTCATTTAGAAAATCGTTTGCAGTACGGGGACACGTTTAACACATCTGCACCCGGTTTTCCAAGAACAATCGAGACCAAAATATGCAGAGGTAGAGGTAGGCTGTTCACGTTCCTTGTGGCAGGTGTCTGGGTTGATGGCGGTTGGTAGGATGCCGCAATTGGTCACCACCACTGTTGTGTCGAGTACAAAAGACAAGGAATTATTGTTGTTTACAAGGTACAAAGCTAGACACGAACACAAGAAGCGTTCGTACTCACCCAATATCATCGCCTCCCTAATCAACATAACAGGTGGAGCTTGCAATGCTCAAGTACAAAGCGGCCCATCTCGTGAAGGGCTCGGGCAGCGGCTTCGATCGCCAGGGCGGTGGCATCGGGACGATGGGCGGCAGCGGCGAGAAGGCGATCGACACGCAGCGCCAACTTCTGCGGAATCGCACGGCCGAGGTCCATCGCCAGCTCAAGGACGTCGAGCGCCGGCGAGGCTTCCAACGTAGCTCTCGGGATCGAAGGCTTGAAGCTAGCGTGGCTCTCGTGGGCTACACCAACGTGGGCAAGTCTTCGCTCATGAACCAGCTGGCACTAGGGCGGCATAACACTCGCGGCGTTGGAGGCGGAGGGGGTAATCGAGAAGGAAAAGGCAGCGAAAGAGGAAGGCGCTTCGACGGGGCCGGCGGCGGAGGAAAAGGGAAGGGCATGGTGCAGGCTCGGAACCGGGTGTTCGACACACTGGATCCGACCGTCCGATCGGTAACGTTACCGTCACGCGTAAGGTAATAACATTCAGGTTGCGCTTTGTGCTTTCACTCGTGGGATCGGGCAATTGCTTTAGAGTTTTTGGAGATTCAACGCTTGGACTTTCGCACACGAGTAGTCATTTGGTCCTCTTTCTCAGCGAAGGCATGCCTGAACTCAACTCGTGCCGAAAGGAGCCACACTTGGGAGGCGCAAAAAGTCCTTCATCCTTCGCGTGAACGCCGTTTCACCAAGGTCACCGGCATCACAATGATGCGAACGGAACACCCCTCACCCCCCCCCTCCTGTCTCCGCGCAACCGTAATAACTCAACCCCTTTCGTCCTCGACGACACTCTTTCCTTCCGTGGCGGACCCATCGAGCAAGATGTGTCTTGGTTGACACCGTGGGTTTCATCCAAGACTTGCCGACGGACCTGGTGCACTCCTTTAAGTCAACGCTCGAGGAAGTCAAGAGCGCGGACGTGCTCTTGCACGTGCGGGACGCTAGCGTGGAGCCCCGCGTGGGCGAAGCCCACCGAAAGGCCGTCCAAGAGACACTGGCAGAGCTAGGTGCCGGTGGCCGACCGACCCTTGAGGTCTGGAATAAGGTGGACAAGGAGAGAAGGGTCGACCCTGAAAATCGTGGTGCTGGTGCTGGGGCTAGGGCTGGCTGTAGCGATGGCGGCGGCGGCGGCGGCGGCGGCGGCGATATGAGTCTCCCGGACGAGGCGAAGGCAGAGAAAGCGAACGGACGGATGGAAGGTCCTGCTGGCGAGGGCGGCAGCAGATTAAGCCATGCGGGCGAGGGGCGTACTGGGCCGGACGACGAAGGCGCAATTCGGGTGTCGGCGGCTTCGGGTCAAGGCCTGGCCCATCTGCTTGAGAGGATAGACGCCATGCTTCACTTGAATGGAGGCGCGGACGGGGAAGGAAGCGGCAGGAGGTTTTCCATAAAACCGATCGATCGGTACGAGTACGTTCGAGTCCTACCGGGGCAGTCACAACAAGGATACAAGTGACTACCGAGGACTTCTTTGGTGCGGTACACCACTTGGAAAATGCCGGGCCAGGCTACTTGTACGGGGCCACAACAGCTCGTTCGCCGTAAACAGAAGTCCGCCTCTCTTGTTCAAGGGAGCAACGGTCAAACCCACTAGGAACTAGCGCAGCAGATGCGCATCCGACAAAGGCACCTTGCTTTCTTGACGCTACCGGGGTTTGAGGAAGGCCGGAGGCGTTTCGATGTGTTTCTACGCTCGAACGAAGCCAGGGCTTTACGCTATCCGGTGTATGCAACAGTTACGGAGTATCTGCCGCGTGCACGTTGCTGTCGCTCGTTGAGCTGTCGCTGTTGCTGGACAAGCTGCATCGCATGGCGAAAGAAAAACGTTTGAATTCGCCTGCACAACAAGGCAAAAGAAAGGTTGGTTCGCTCCATGTACTGTACGAGGGGATCAATTGCAGCTAGATGACCCGGTCGCCCCGGTGGTCTAGTGGTATCCTCGTAATCCGCTAGTCGCAGAGGTCGTGTGTTGAAACCCCATGAAAAGTGCGGGTGAAAGCGAAATATAGCTGACAAGCTCTCGTCAGTACCAAACTTCGACGTTAGCACCGTTGACGAGGGAAAGGACCCTTGTCGCGATAAAATAAAACTTCGGCACGCACCGCAGGAGGGAGGCGGGGCATGAAAAGAAATAAAAAGAAGAAAAACGCCCTGGTGTTTTACCCCCTCCTGTGTGACCTTGGATGGTTGTAGTTGTACGAAAAATATCACTGAAAAGTATAGTACTCTACATACGCTGAAAAGTGTAGTACACGTCTCACCACGAAAAATGGGGGGACTGTCGCCATAAGAAATAGGACGAGAACACAAAGCACAGACGGCCAAAATTTTCGCTCGTATACAACACAAAAAATGCATTTAAGACGTTTGAAGGTGAAACACAATTCGGAGGGAAACAACACGATCCACTCATTCACCTAGATATTGATACTCCCACAACAGATGTCTCGTGCTAGATTGCCTGGATCACACAACCTACCACTCGCAAAACATCAATCGCACCCACTACAACCTCGGGCGAAGCCGTTTTTCCCCTCAACCCATTCTTCTCTCCGAGAGCCTGCGCAACAAATTAACATGCACTCGCAGCCACTGCCGAGTCCAGTACCAAACCATTTTTCAGTCTCGAGCCACTCACTGCCTTGCAGGGCAGGCCGTACCGGACGAGACCAATATTTTCCGGAGAGAACGTGCCACGGTCTCTTCACTCAACCAAAAGCTCTATTGTCAGCTTGGATCAACCACGACACACCACGCAGTATGTTGCCTCCTGGGACTGCAGCCACCATACCAGGCTTTCGCAGAGAAACACATCGAGAGAGACAAGCCATCGAAAACGCGCTCTCCCTCTCGAAGAATGAAACAAAAAACAGTGAACTTAGTGCTGCTTTCAACCAACACTTCGACAATCTGTGTAGGGAGCCACGGACGAGAAAAATACACCTGACGTTTTGGCTACTTCAGGCCGCGGGCGGCGGGGGCGGCGGACGTCGTCTCTCTACAGCGGCCTTCACAGCCTCCTCCAGCGTCCGAGATATGTCGTCGCGTTTGGTGAGCTGGGCAGGCGTTATTCCGGCCTCGTCGGGCGCGTCTGGGGAAGCCCCCGACGCGAGTAGGAAGCGCACCACGTCCTGGGGAAGGGGCAGGGACGAGGGGGGCACAATCGTTGGGAGGAGGGGGGGTATCAAGTACAAGTTTTCGATTGCAACATCGTTCGCGTAGCACTGACTCTCAGTATCCAGTGAACAGGAGTGCACCCGTTTAAATGTTACGTGTTTCTACGCCATTTTGTTGACGAAGCGGGATCCCATTGTGTCTCCACAAAACGGCAGATACTCGCACGGGTTGACAGCGAACAAATCGACCGAGCAGAAAGATGTTGAATCTACACCACCTGCAACCCACTCGGACCGGGCCGCTTGAAATGACGTTCGACAGACTCGCCGCGCAAGCCACAAGTGAGAACTGTTGTATTTAGCGCGAACCAAAGTGACGATAACAGGTTAATCCTTGGCGGCCTGCACGACGATACAAAAACACGTTCCCCTATCAACAAGAATAACCCACCAGGTGGTCGTTTTGACAGGCCAGGTGCAGCGGCGTGGTGTAGAATAGGTTGCGTTGGCTCGGGTTGCAGCCTTTCTTTATGAGTTTTTCCACCGTGGCAACGTTTCCCGAGCGGGCGGCTGGCGACGATGGGGTCGTGGGTTAGGGTCAGGCGGTGGGGGTCCTGTTCATGTGTACGCTGTTTTGAACACGAAATAAGGTTCGCATGAAACAAGTATCCATTTCGAGATGGAGCACTTTCGCTCTACTCCCAAACGCGCACCGTCAATGTTCGGGTGAGCCGTTCTGACGTGCTGACGAGGAAGGGGGGGGTATCACAGTCGTCGCGAGGCCGGTGGCCGTGCATGCGCCAACCATGTATCTCTCTTTGCCTTTCAGAGGACAGCAGTAGCTCGGATTTTTCATGAGTTGTGTGAAGTATAAATCAACGAGGAGAGCACATCAGTTCTCTCATTGAGTGGACTTTCAGCTCAGGCCGGAGTATCGGAACAGTTTTCGAAGCAGGCGTGTGTTTCATCCGTGTTTGACTTAGATATTGGAATCTACCAATGCGTACCGCTCTTGTCTCACCTAGGTGAAGAGCAACCAGCTGCAGCTCGGCGCTCTTCTTGGTCAAGCTGGCGCCACTGTCGATCAGGAGGGCGGCGCATTCGCTCCGGTCGTAGTTGCAAGCGTAGTGCAGCGAGGTCCCTATTTTCGTGGCCCGGGAAGAATAAATTGTCATGCACGGCAGTTTGAGGGATTGGGCCTGTGACGGCGCGTGTAGCAAGTACATTGTTAATTGTAGGACCCAGATTTTGATCCAGTTATGCGGACATGTAATAGCAGTTGCCACCTTCGACAGCACGGCTCCCGCAACAGATCTGGGCGTTTCACTGCGCAGGTAGCCGCTCCATAATGTCCTCTACTGATTTCCCATCGAACATTCACAATCTCTGACGCAGCGAAATTATCACAAGCACCCACCGTCTCGCCGGTTTCGTCGTCACTTTAGATCAGTGGATTTGTTTTGCCATGGTGTATGGAGGAATACTGCGAGACATGCTAGCAAAGGCAAGACCCAACCGCTGCTACATAATCCTAGACGGCGTGTTGTCCGGAACTGGGGGTGCTTCGTCAAACAAAATTTCTGTACAAATCACCATGCCAACCATGTGGACTCTGCTCTCTCATGCCTTGCCACTCAGGCATGTCTTCGCATCATCTCCTCTGCCCTACAACCTCATTACCCCATGTATCTTCCACTCCTCCAAAAGTCTGAGTAACCCATGTATCTTTACCTCCTGGGAAAGTCAGAGTCCGCCACTCGAACATTCAGCTTCAGCATTTCCTCGGAGTCCATCTGGCCATTGAGGTAGATTTCGTTCCGATCTCTTGTTGAGGCTTCCCGCGTCTCTTTCAAGTGTTCCTCACGTTGCACCTTCAACAGCGGCAGCCTTTCCTACCACATCAGACTGTCTAATCTATCTAGAGGTAGTGGTTCATTCCGAGCTCTTCTTTCCGGTGTGTTCCTCGCGTTCCACCCTCATTTGCACCAGCCTTCCTACAGTACCATATCATTCTACGGGACTCTCTAATCCATCCCTCACATGATCCAAAGTCCAGCGCGTTGATGTCGAGATCCTTCACCTCGTCCAGCAGGTACCGGATGACGGCCGCGCTGCCGTAAAAGGCGGCCACGTGCAGCGGGGTCATCTTGTATGCCGTCCTCGCCTCCGTGTCCGCGCCCATCGAGATAAGCAAGGAGGCCAACTCGGGGCTGTTGCCCTTGGCGGCGCAGTGCAGCGGCGAGCGCTGAAGCGGCGTCAGCCCCACACGGCGCGAACGGATCAATTGGCATGGCATCGAATGGTTGATTCATGTGGTGCAGTTCACCCACACGGCAGCAGATAGGGGGAGTAGTACATATTCGCCAGTTCCGCCGTGAACGTGGGACAGATCCATTTCGCCACGAGACGAACCACGGAGAGATGAGACGACAGGAAGACCGTGTGACGGTGGCGAAGGCGGCGAGAGATCGGATGAAGGGTAGCAGAAAGAACAGCGAATGACCTCAGAAAAAGCGGATAACACCAAATGCGCATACCACGACCGAACAGTCGCACAAGCAACTAACTCCTTATGGGATCACCGCTGGGGCAAGCAACTTGTCACAAGGGTTCACGCTAAAACGGGTACAAGGCCAGACGTAGGAATTGTTTTGGTGTCCTCCTACTGCAAAAGGTTTATACGCCCCTTACTACTGATCTTCGCTCTCACGTTCTTCGGGCCTCGGGCATTGACCTTGTCCGGAGTCGCCTCGAGGATGCTCTTCACCTTGTCCACGTCGCCGGCCATGCAGGCATCGTGGAGTTCAAACCTTCCCTGCTCTCGCCACGAGCAGCGGAGGTTGGAAATAGAAACAGGTAACCAGGGGAGGAACAGTCAGCACCTGGTATTACAGATTTGAGTTTCTCCCACCCATCCAATCACCCGGTAGCCCCGAGACGGCTGGGTTAGCAAGAGTGGTATGCCGGGGAAACGCATGCGGCCATGAATGCTGGTTGGCTTCTGCGGCAGGAATTCAACGCTTCCCCCTTTTTGGTTCATTTTGACAATGCTCGCGAGGGCCGTTCCTTGGCGGTGCATCGCGGTGGTCATACCGGCGTCAGGCTTGCATCGATCGCTTCTCGGGGGATTGTTTTGGGCATGCACGATATTTGGGGCACCCTCGATGTGACCACGTGGTATGCGGGAGGTGTATGTGCTGAATTACACGCCGCGAGTAGTGCTGGTTTTCGTTTCCTACACACTCCACACTCTCCAGATGGTTGGGTGCCAGAACTATTTCCTTGCGAGCGATCTCTTTCGTTAGGAAGGTGGCGGTATCAGCGTCTTCGGTATTTGAGTCGGTCGACGGCTCACATGCCTGCTTCATGTGGGAGTCTTGAACGTGCAGCGATATATGCCTTTTATGGTTTGACAGAACAAACCTTTGTTAACGAGCGTCCAGATTGTTCAGGGTCAAATCGTTTTTACGTAACCTTGTTTTACCTGCAGCAGGCAATAATGGCGAGTTTCGGATGTACGTTTTGACATTTCCACTTGAACTTTGAAGGGAAAATATCCAGTTTACGGTCGTCATGAAAATGAACTTTCGACTATTCATAGGAAGATTTTGTTATTAAGAACGAAGGGTAGCAGGCGTCTGTTTAAGTTATTTCAAGATTTACATTTTTTTGCTGTTGGTTGCCTTGGTCAACACCACGCCAGGATGGGTGCTGCTGCACACCTCACCCCACCAACGCATGCCCGCGGTCGGTCATAGAGCTTACTGCCAGCAGTGGGAGGACTCCTGCTT